ACACGAGTAACGGCCGGCCCGTACAGATCCTTGCTACGTGCATAGCTGTATCGGGCCGCTCCCGGGAAGGACAGGTGCTGCGTGTGATTTGTATGCAGCAGCCTGTCCTCCTCTATGGGAGTACGCGCCGGTACTCCGCCCTACTCTCCCCCGACCTGCACGTCCGTATGGGTGTGGATGTCACCTGCTCAGACGTAGACACGATCCATCCTGTCAGCGTGCCAGTACAGACACCCGCACGGACGTGTAGTTCGCGTGAGCGTAGGGCGGCATACCGCCGCGTACTCCCATAGAGAAGTACAGGCTGCTGCGTGTAATCACACGCAGCACCTGTCCTTCCCAGGAGCAGCTCGATACGGCTGTGCACGCAGCACGGATCTGTACGGGCCAGCCGTTAATCGTGTGAATGAGGCCTTAATCCGTTTTTTTACCTGCATTAAAAAAAATAGATCTAAAAAAAAATAATAAAAAGTGCAACACCACTCAAAATGAACATGTTATGTTGTGGTTTAAATGGGGGCAGTTTTTGATACCTTAGGACGCCTCATTGCTGCGATGGATCTTGGTGTCCATATAATCACCTCCCACCCCTCTTGTCTTGACAAGGCTGAGCTACTCGTTGACAACATAACCCCCTATGGATTCTGCATAGTGATGTATTAACATTTTAATGCTGGGCAGCACTTTCAATTGAAAGAACTGACCATACGGATGTAGACAACCTAAAGACATCAACTTCTATTGAAACTGTAATATACTCCTACCTGCTTGAGGTAACTGGTTTAATCACTTTGCAAACAAAGCCTTGCTGAAAGTGCCTAATAATTGGCACGTGAATGTCCAGCTTTACTCTGTAATGATAAATTCCATTATAGATTGAATTGCTCTTTATACTGTCATGATTGGGCTTATGCATGAAACTAAAATTCTTAAATTATTATAACTGTGCACGTTTTTGTTTATTTTTTAAACCATATGTATACCTCCTTCAAGTGACACTAAACTGAGGAGTTAAATCTTAGGCTGGCCATACACCTATCAATTATTTTGCTTTAACTCGCGGGCTGAACGAAAAAAAATTAAAGCGGAACTAAACTTGGCAAACCGGAATTAGAAAGCAGGTAGATGAGGAACTATTCCTCCCACTGACACCAATGATGAGGAACTATTCCTCCCACTGACACCAATGACGGGGGCACTATTCTTCCCACTGACACCAATGATGAGGAACTATTCCTCCCACTGACACCAATGACGGGGCACTATTCCTCCCACTGACAGCAATGATAAGGTACTATTCCTCCCACTGACACCAATAATGAGGTACTATTCATCTCACTGACACCAATGATGGGGAACTATTCCTCCCACTGACACCAATGATGAGGAACTATTCCTCCCACTGACACCAATGATGAGGAACTATTCCTCCCACTGACACCAATGATGAGGAACTATTCCTCCCACTGACACCAATGATGAGGAACTATTCCTCCCACTGACACCAATGATGAGGAACTATTCCTCCCACTGACACCAATGATGAGGAACTATTCCTCCCACTGACACCAATGATGAGGAACTATTCCTCCCACTGACACCAATGATGAGGAACTATTCCTCCCACTGACACCAATGATGAGGAACTATTCCTCCCACTGACACCAATGATGAGGAACTATTCCTCCCACTGACACCAATGATGAGGAACTATTCCTCCCACTGACACCAATGATGAGGAACTATTCCTCCCACTGACACCAATGATGAGGAACTATTCCTCCCACTGACACCAATGATGAGGAACTATTCCTCCCACTGACACCAATGATGAGGAACTATTCCTCCCACTGACACCAATGACGGGGCACTATTCCTCCCACTGACAGCAATGATAAGGTACTATTCCTCCCACTGACACCAATAATGAGGTACTATTCATCTCACTGACACCAATGATGGGGAACTATTCCTCCCACTGACACCAATGATGGGGAACTATTTCTCCCACTGACACCAATGATGGGGTACTATTCACCTCACTGACACCAATGATGGGGTACTATTCATCTCACTGACACCAATGATGAGGTACTATTCCTCCCACTGACACCAATGATGGGACACTATTCCTCCCACTGACACCAATGATGGGGTACTATTCCTCCCACTGACACCAATGATGGGACACTATTCCTCCCACTGACACCAATGATGGGGTACTATTCCTCCCACTGACACCAATGATGGGACACTATTCCTCCCACTGACACCAATGATGGGGTACTATTCCTCCCACTGACACCAATGATGGGACACTATTCCTCCCACTGACACCAATGATGGGGTACTATTCCTCCCACTGACACCAATGATGGGACACTATTCCTCCCACTGACACCAATGATGGGGTACTATTCCTCCCACTGACACCAATGATGGGACACTATTCCTCCCACTGACACCAATGATGGGGTACTATTCCTCCCACTGACACCAATGATGGGACACTATTCCTCCCACTGACACCAATGATGGGGTACTATTCCTCCCACTGACACCAATGATGGGACACTATTCCTCCCACTGACACCAATGATGGGGTACTATTCCTCCCACTGACACCAATGATGGGACACTATTCCTCCCACTGACACCAATGATGGGGTACTATTCCTCCCACTGACACCAATGATGGGACACTATTCCTCCCACTGACACCAATGATGGGGTACTATTCCTCCCACTGACACCAATGATGGGACACTATTCCTCCCACTGACACCAATGATGGGGTACTATTCCTCCCACTGACACCAATGATGGGACACTATTCCTCCCACTGACACCAATGATGGGGTACTATTCCTCCCACTGACACCAATGATGGGACACTATTCCTCCCACTGACACCAATGATGGGGTACTATTCCTCCCACTGACACCAATGATGGGACACTATTCCTCCCACTGACACCAATGATGGGGTACTATTCCTCCCACTGACACCAATGATGGGACACTATTCCTCCCACTGACACCAATGATGGGGTACTATTCATCTCACTGACACCAATGATGGGGTACTCTTCATCTCACTGACACCAATGATGAGGTACTATTCATCTCACTTACACCAATGATGGCTCCGCGAATGTCAGCAAAATTGTAGAAATGTCACCAGCACACCAATCCTTTTAAGATAGCAAAAGCTTAATTTATTGAAGTTTTTTGTCATATGACCAAACAAGCGCTTTCGGGACCGCACAGGGTCCCTTCATCAGGCTTTAGCATCGTCAAATGAGCATCTTAAAAGGATTGGTGTGCTGGTGACATTTCTACAATTCCTTACACTGACACAACGATGGAACACTATTCCTCCCACTGACACCAATGATGAGGTACTATTTCCTCCCACTGACACCAATGATGGGGTACTATTCCTCCCACTCAGGGGCGTAACTAGAAATCACAGGGCAAAATTTTGTATGGGGCCCTGTGATTTCTAGTTAAGTCCACGTGATAATCCAAACAGCCCACTTGAGGGTGACCCTGCAGAGCCCACCATAGACCCTCTATGGTGGGCTCTGCAGGGTCTCAGGTGGGCGGTCAAGCTCTCTTACCTGCCTGCCCGATCCTCTGTCCGCCTCCTCCTCCACGATCGCTTGCGGGCCCCACCTCCTCCATCACTGGGCCCCACCTTAGATCGCCGGGCCCGCCTCCCCATTGCTAACACCCGCCTCCTCGATCGCTGGGCCCCGACTCCTCCATTGCTGCCAACGACAGGCCCAGCCACCTCCTCCGACGCTGCTGGTTGTCACCGACTCAGCAGCGGCTGTGAGGAGGAACGCGCCGCTGAAAATGTGAATAGTGGCGTGTTTCTCCTCACAGCCGCCAGTGACAGCCAGCAGCCTGATATGCCATAGCGACCCAGTCGGCCCGCACGGCATCAGGGGCTCCATAGCGGCCGCCTGGGTCGCTATGGTGATTGTTACACCACTGTTCCCACTGACACCAATGATGGGGCACTATTCTTCCTACTGACACAAATGATAGGGCACTCTGGTTCCCAGACAATAATGGGGCATTTGTTTTTACACCCATTGACCAGTGTCTGAATGACAGTGTCCTGGCCCTTAGTTTACAACATTTGGGGATCCTGTCCTAACCATTCTCCACTCTACACAGAATAAACATTTTTGACTAAAAATGTTTTTGCTGAAGGAAGGCTTTGAGAATAAAACCCCACAACACCCCCCATGGTATAATGTGCGTATTATTGCACATACTTCTGACGCCCACTGTATGCACAGGCACGTTTATGTAATAATATGCATTTTTATTATAATAAGGGTTCACAGAAAGACACTGCACGGTTCAGATAGAATAATAAAATGGCAGCTTCACGACTTCCTTTGCCGTGTCAGCTATACTAATACACTGCGCTCTCTATATATGATCGCCAAGACTATATTAAACAGACTCCGAGTCTCTCAATATAAGACATGTTCCCGCCGTCCTTCAACTACAGTATACAGGCGGGTCCGAGCGGGCAGGACTATGGTGAACTATCGGGGACGCGCACAACGTCGGATACCAGGTTAGAAAACTCGAAGTCTGATTGGTCGGCGCTCGTCGAGGGGCGGGGAACGGCAGTGACAGTTCGGATGGAACATGACGCAGTAAGAATAGAACGTCAGAGATATGACGAAGAACTTCTGGAGCGGGCACAGGGTTGTCTGAGTGTTTACACCTTATCTAGCATTGCTTTTCTACCACAGCCTAACGGAGTGTGTGCTAGGAAAATAGATGTTCAAGAGAACACAAAATCTCATCCTATAGAAGAAATCATAAATGGTATGATTTATAATCAAAGATCGTATCAAAGATCAGCTGACCAGACAGTACTTGGGTAACTAGAGCTGGCTCCCAGCATTTAAACGTTATTTAGTTGCTCTTAGCAGTGACTATTATATATGTTATAGTTATAAGCCCTTTCAATGGATGTAGTAAACCCCCATAACTTTCCAGCCAAGCTATGGCGACTTGTGAATGACCCCCACGTCTGTTCCCTCCAATGGGACTCGCGTGGAGAAGGAATCATCATTGACCAAGAGTTGTTTGAGTCTGAGCTCCTCGCACCCTCCAGAGAGATCAATGTGACCGATGACCTGTTTAGGACGACAAGCTTCGGCAGCTTCATCCGTCAGCTCAATCTGTACGGCTTCAGGAAACTGGTCTATGGATCTGGCGCTTCTTGCCAACCCACCAGGAACCTAGAAGCTGGAAATCGCAACCTTCATCCTTTCTCTAATTCCTTCTTCCGCAGAGGTCACCCAGAGCTTCTCATCAATTTAAAGAGGCTGACCAATATTAACAAGGCAAAAATGGCAGCAGGCCATAAAGTGCATACCAGGCCACCAAACCGATATCAGCGATTACTTCCAAATCCATTGGAGAAACAGAGAAGGGCAGAGACTCAAGGTAAGGTCAGGACTGGACCATTGAGGGACACAGGAATTCTTACACTGTCAGATTATACTGCCACCTACAGGAAAAATGGCAGTTTAATCTGGCCTTGCACTGCAAGGGTTATCTGCTCGTTTGTGTCTAGGTTTAAAAAAAAAAGTTATACTCATCCAATCCTTGGAGCCGGCTGTCTGTCACAGCGCTCCCTGCCCCTTGTCTCCTTCCCGGCTGCAGCAAAGAAATGTCCCACAGTGTCCTCACATCCTATACACTGTGTATAAAAAGTGATGACTCGGGGAGCTTAAACCACTGCTGCGGAGGGGGAGAGAGGCTGGAAGGACCGGTCTAAGAGCTGGCCGGTGTTCTATTTAAAGTTCCAACTTATCGAGTTCTCCAACTGGCTGACTTCCGGTTTAGTTAGAACTAAGAGGTTTGACCAAGAAAGCTCTTCTGCACGAGCGCCAGCCGCGGCATTGCCCTATACACATACAACGTGACAATGAAGTATGAAAGTGAACCAGGATCACACTAATCCAGCATGTTATTATTCTGAGTTGCCCCACTCAAGCGGCGGCCATATTGAGCGGGGCACCTGAGAATAATAACGTGCTGCATTAGTGTTATCCTTCTTCACTTTCATACTTCATTGTCGCGTTGTATGTGTATAGGGCAATGCCGCGGCTGGTGCAGAAGAGCTTTCTTGGTCAAACCTCTTAGTTCTAACTAAACCGGAAGTCAGCCAGTTGGAGAACTCGATAAGTTGGAACTTTAGATAGAACACCGGCTTTGAGAATCAGGTCAGTATATGTTGTTTATTTTCCTCCCTAGACACAAACAAGCAGTTAACCCTTGCAGTGCGTGGGTAGCCCCACTGCAAGAGTTAATAACATTTGTGCCTGGAGTTCTGCTTTAAAGATGTAGTTCCAGTATCCATGTGTACAGCACATGACTGTGATGTGTAACTCCACCTTTATATACCAGAGTTTCACCTTAATTAGGACTCATTTGATCATTTTTAAAGTGCAGAAAAAGCACAAAAAAGCCCTATGCAGTGTTCCTGATTTAGCTTCACGTTGTAACTGGAGACTGACTCTTGCCTGACATCATGGCTAAGCCCTGTTCACTGATATTCTACTAGGGATGTGCATTGGCTTGGTGTAAACAGTTCACCCGAGCCTGTGCAAAACTCGCAGGACACATTCCCCTCCTTGCCCAATCAGCTGCGGCCAGGGCATTCTCCCCGAAGCTAAGCGTAACAAAGGAGCAGGGAATGCCCCAGGCCGCAGCTGATTGCTTCAAGAGGGGGATGTGTCACTGACAGTTTTGCACGGGCTTGGGCAAACCTTCTTTCGCCTACCAAGAAGCCGTCCTAACCATCTTGTGTTGAATTGTATTGTAACTATACTGCCTTCCTTTAGCACCTGTAAGGTGCTGCACAGACTGTTGATGCTATATAAATCCTGTATAATATTAATATAATGATATTAATAATATTGTCACTAGCTGCAACTGAGGCAGGATCAGTGAGGGGGTGCTGGTAAGGCGTCCTGTCAGGTTGTCACGGCTATTTGGATACCCCATTAGGGAGATTTAGCCTGACTTCCTGTCCTGCTAACAACAGTTTTACCAGACAAATAGTAAGGTAAAATCTGTAACAGGGGCACAGACAAATAAACATCAGACAGGTGTTCCTATACTTAGGCAGGACTTGTACATTTGACAGTTTAAAATGGCTGACATGTTTGTAATCTTGGCCTAAACAGTACATAAGTGGAGTTTCTTTATAAGTTGAATTGTTTCATTTTCTGTGCTTTATCTTATTTCTGCTATTTCCGATCTGTAGGTCTAATGCCACTCGAACAAATTCATCGTTATTCTAACCAGGAAAATATTTCTCTATATCCCTATGCTGGGCCGGTAGCCCAGAGCTATAATGCTTCTATGAATGGGTTTGGTGACTTTCCGGTGTCTGCTATGATGTGGCCAAGTTCATTGGGACCTCACCAAGGACACTTAGGTGTTCCATCATCATTCCCAGAAAAGCCAGTCTTTTTTCCTGCCATGCAGCAGTTCCCAGCAGTCGCATACACGCTGCAATCCACCGCCACTTCTCTACATGTCCAACAAAGTCACTCTTTCATGACGGAAGCTGTGCATAAATATGGAAGCTCACCCACAATGCAGTATCCTAATGTATATCATCCAGCAGGTTAGTCTTTAGTTTGTAGACAACAAGATGTTCAGTTGGAAGCGTTCGTCAGATACATTTTATATAAAAGTAAGCAAATATGTGTTTCTTTATTGTACATTGATGGACTCAGGAATTCTTAAAATTCTTATACTTTCAGGTTATACTGTCGCCTACAGCAGAAATGTAGGCGACAGTATAACCTGATAGTCTAAGAATTCCTGTGTCTCTCAATGGACTCCAAGAAAAGGATTTTGTCAGCGAATACAAAAATCCTAATTTCTTTAGCGCCCATTGAGGGACACAGGAATTCTTAGAGTGTTGGGTTATAGTGCCAACTATAGGGGAAATGTAGTTGCCACTGTAACCCGACAGTCTAAAAATTCCTGTGTCCCTCAATGGACTCTAAGAAAAAGATTTTTTAGTGAATACAAAAATCCTATTTTCTTTATCTCCCATGGAGGGACACAGAAATTCTTAGACTGTTGCTTTATACTACCGCCTACATTTCTCCTGTCAGCTTATTCTGCCACCTACATTTTTATGGAAACTAAAAACAATAAACAAAAATATTAATGGTAGAAAACATAAAAATAAAAAAAATCTGCAGAAAAATAATAATAAAAAAAAAAGGGAAGAAGAAAGGAAGGAGTTGATAAGGACTAATAGGTAATAATGAACTGATGTTATATGCAGATCAAAGGTGGCACCTGCAATCTATGTATGATTGAAACAGTAACTACAGTGTTCATAGTCAAAGAATGTGCCCTACCTTTTCCTGTCCTACCTCAGTGTGCAGGAGGGGCTCCTGTCAACTCGTGTTGTCAATCAAGTTATAACCGTTACACAGGGGCGTAACTAGAAATCACAGGGCCCCATAGCAAAATTTTGTATGGGGCCCTGTGATTTCTAGTTAAGCCCACCTGAGATCCCACACAGCCAAACCTGAGGGTGACCCTGCAGAGCCCACTATAGAATCTCTATGGTGGGCCCTGCAGGGTCTCAGGTGGGCGGTCAAGCCCTCTTACCTGTCTGCCCGATCCTCTGTCCGCCTCCTTCTCCTCAACGATCGCTTGCGGGTTCAGCCTCCTTCGTTACTGGGCCCCACCTCCTCGATCGCCGAGCCTGCCTCCCCATTGCTAAGACCCGCCTCCTCCATCGCTGGGCCCCGTCTCCTCCATCGCTGCCGACTACGGGCCCAGCCACCTCCTCTGAAGCTGCAGGTTGTCACCGACTCAGCAGCGGCTGTGAGGAGGAACGCGCCGCTGCACATGTGAATAGCGGCGTGTTCCTCCTCACAGCCAGCAGCCTGATATGCCATAGCGACCCAGGCGGCCCGCACGGCATCAGGGGGATGTCCTGGCCAGGGCCCCCCCGGGCCCCATAGCGGCCGCCTGGGTTACACTGCCGTTACATGAACAAGGATCCTTGAGCATGAGCCTTACATGAGCATGATCCGTGTTCATGCCACTGCCGCTACATGAACAAGGATCCACATAAAACCTTTTTCCAAATTGTATCATGACATAAAATCAGCAACAAATATCCTAACGTGTTTCAGCCTCAACAACGGGCCTAATCTTAGCTCATTAATCATAGTTAATTACAACCCCACACACAAGATGGGAGGAGTAACAACATCATTCATTCACTATTAGTTGTATTGATAGTCCTCCCATCTTGTTAAGGGTGGAGAATATTTAAGGGTTCCTAGTGCTGTGTCCTAACGAGCTTTGATTAAGGCCCGTTGTTGGGACTGAAACACGCCAGCATATTTTTGGGCGCTTTTATACCAATAAACAAAAAGCTTTTATGTTGATCTCTGTTCATGTGCTGTTTATTGCAGCTTCAGTAACTACAGTGTAATAATACATTATTACACTGTAATGCTCAATGACACTTCCTGACTATCTGCAAGTGTTATCTTACCAAGGAGCTGCTGCATTTTGGCAGCCACTCCTGATATGTAATACATAGCAATTTGCAGCTGTCGTTTTGACAGCTGGTAATTACCAGTAATAGTGGCGGGGAGCGCATCAGGGAAAGAGAGCAGGATGTACAAGACACATTCTAGAAACTTCTCCAGGTTTTTTAGGACATCGTTTCTACGCCTGAAATCCTGATGCGGTTAATTTTCTACTGTGTGTGCCAAAACAACACCTGTGTACACTTTAAGAGTACTGCCTGTAGGTTCAGTGAACCCTGAAAGTGGTTTAGTTTTTAGTGCTTCTGCCTTGTAGCACTGGTTCAAATCCCAGCCAGGTCACTATCTACAAGGAGTTTGCATGTTCTCACTGTGCTTGCTGGGTTTCTTCTACGTACTCTGGTTTCCTCCCACACTCCAAAGATATGCCGGAAGGCTAATTGGCTCCTGCCTAAATTTGCATGTGAGATGGGGACCTTACTTTGTAAGCTGCTTGAGGGCAGGGACTGATGTGATGTGCACTGTGTAAAGTGCTGCATAAATTGCCGGCACTATATAAATACTAATAATAATAGATAGGAAGGATGCTTCATGTACAGAACTACTTTGATTAGCAGGGGATCAATGTATGGAACTGACAGGTGCCTGTGATCCGAGAGCATTTTATTTAAAATCCGAGAGGATTTTTTTTAAAGTGCACCGCGCTAATTTTTAGCTACTAAAACTGTGCTAACCCACAAAATCATACGATAGAGATAATAAAATGCAATAACAAAAAAAGTACTGCAAATATTGAAGTGCGAAAATATATATATATTAATACACTGGTAACTATATAAATAATATTCAATATACCTATATACTAAAGTACCAACATACAGTGTATTGAAGTACAAAAAAAAAATACAGTATACCGTATTTGCCGGCGTATAAGACGGCTGGGCGTATAAGACGACCCCCCACTTTTTGTGTAAAAATATAGGTTTTGGGCTATACTCGTCGTATAAGACGAGTATAGCCCAAAACAATGCTTAAATGCACTTACTAACCTCCTTGGCGGTATTCCCGAGTGTGGCTCGGGGTTAATTTTCAGTACCATAAGTGTATATAAAATGTTTGTGCTAACACTAAGGCCTTGTTCACACCAAGGAGCAGGAGCTCCTGCGTTCCAGGAGCAGAGCAGTTACAGACCGGATCAAAACTGCGTCCAATGTATTCCAATGGTATTTTGGGCTCTAGTTCACACCGCCGCGTTCAGTTCCAGAACATGTAAAAAAAACTGCAGCAGGCCCTATTTTACCTGCTCTGGAACGCATTCAAACGCATCAAAATGCATGCAAACGCCCTGGAACGCACTGAAAGCCCATTTTAAACTAAAAAATAAAATATTTTTTTACCAAAAATAGCGCTAAACGCATCAAAAACGAGGCAAAAAACGCGGCGCAACCCACTGCGCCGCGTGTGCAGAAACAGTATGTTTCAACCACCAATTAAATATGCAAAAATGCCCCAAAGTTTATAAAGTGCAAAGTTCTTGTGTTGCAAATCATTCTATCTTCCAGTGATCCCCTTGTGCAAAACAATATCACATTCCACAAATGTTTGCTCCCTCCTGTCTGTGCACCCCTACATATGGATACACGTGGATTAGTGTTAGCACAAATTATATATAAACCGGGTTGCTCTGTCACGCAGAAAGATTGAAACCAGATTTTGCTTACCACGACCACGAGTTCGTCACATGTTTTGGCTGTGGAGGCCAAATTGAAACTTTTTCTGCGGCGGTATTTGGTTCCCCTACGCATTTTACGGCCATTCTTCTTACTCATCTCATTGTTTCCAAGGCTGTGAGGTTGAAGGTTCTTTCTACCATACCTGGTGGGATAGTCCAGCGGCCAAGCATTTCTGGAGTAGGTTGTACTAGCTTATAAATAGTCACAGGTAAGTCCTTTTGTGAGAACCCTTTTGAAGATCTACTGCACAAAAAGCGGGAGGTTTGCACCCTTCGCCTATTTAAATTGGTTACTTATATTCTTAGTGAGGACAAGGGAGTCATAGCATGAGCATGGAAATCCCCTATAATTCCTTTTGCAGAAGTCAAGTGCCGTGTTTCACAGGTCATATTTTTTTGAGAAGCTCTCAGCCATTCAAAATGATACACTCGGCCATTTTAAATAGCTGTCGGCCATTCAGAATGATAGGCTGCAAAACTTTCAGAACATTTTGGAACCATCAATCAATTCTCATCTCCCTCATTCCATATAGACTCCTTAATGATATAATCGTATTGGCCTTCAACGGTGTTTCCTTTCCCTCCACCCTGGAGATTTTCTCTGGGTGGGAGTCATGTTCCATGACCCTTTTGGTACCACACACCGCAAATTGGTAAGATTCTCTCCTTCCTTTCTCTCTCTCTTCTCTCTACCAGTAATCCTTTTGGGAAGTGTAATTTAAAAAATACGGAAGGGTAAGGCGTCATTACATTTTTGACTGATGTGACCGGCCGGATTCTGATTGTTTCCTTTTGCACAGATTGACGTTACAATATAAATCTCGGGTATTGGACTAAAGCACGGGTTGTGATTCATTTGAGACCGTGTTATACATTTGCATCAAAAGGTGTGTCATTTTAAAACTATATTGATAGGTAATTGTGAACTGGAGGAAGTAAGATTACAGCACAGTCGCTTGAAGTGACAGATGAATGGTGATTTGTGTCCTCATTAAATTAATAAAAGGCTTTAATTGCAATACAATGATTTCATTACTTTCTTGTTTCACCTTGAAGCTCTACTGCTAAATTAGGTGAAATATTTTCATCCAAGCTACAATGTGAAGTAACATTTGTCATCTGTTCACTTAAAGCTGAACTACAGGCAGATATATAAAGTGTACAAATGAATGCAGCTCTGTGTTCGTTACTACAGCAGTTATGTATTTTCTTTTAATGCAAGCAATAAAAAGTACATACATTCTGACAGTTTTTGAATGGACAACTCAAATATTTTAAAACCCTTTTGGTATTGAAACGCTATTTTTTCAATAAGAAATACGTATCATAGCAATGGATCTCCAGTGTTTACTTTTTAAAGAAATGATTTGTTTTTTGATTTATTTGTTTGTTAATGCAGTGTTTCCTTAGTAGACCAAGTTAAGTCATATAACTTATTACAGCTTTCTTTGTTTTCTGTCTAGCTTCATTTCAGTACTACCCACCAACATACATGGAACACCTCTCAAACTTTTCTAATCCTGCTATTTCATCATACCAACCTTATAATTA